CACACAGCCGCCATTGTGCCGGAGGTAGCCGGACGCACATGCCGTGCAGTTGGTGCCGGAAGTGCAGGCCGTGCAATTGGCCGAGCAGGAGGAGCACGCACCGCTCGCACCGAAGAAGCCGCTCGGGCAGGAGGACACGCAGGCATTGTTGTGCCGGAAGTAGCCACTTTTGCAAGAGGTGCACACGGAGCCGGAGGAACAGGAGTTGCAGTTGGCCGAGCAGGAGGCACACGCATCGCCGGACGCGAAGTAGCCACCCGGGCAGGCGGCCACACAGCCACCAAGATGCTTGAAGTGATTGGTGAAGCAGGATGAGCAGCTGGTGGCCGAGGTGCAGCTGGAGCAGTTCGCCGAGCAGGACAGGCAACTCCCCCCACTCAGGTAGTAACCCATGTAGCAGGAAGAGCAGTAATCATAGCTGCTGCAATGGTAGCAATCCCAGGGGCACTGGATGCACAGGTTGCCGACCTGGGAATACCCATCAAAGCACTGGACGCACTGGCGACTGCCCCGGTCGTAGATCATGCAGCCGGAGGGGCAGAAGATGCCGATGGTGCCATCGGCATCCGGGTCCACCTCGGCGCCATCCTCGGAGGGAATCATCTGGAGCTGGCAGTACTCCCACATTTGCGTGCAGTAGGTGCTGTCGTCGAAGGCCATGCCCATGCCGCGGGGGCAGCTGATGCAGCCGTATTTGTCGCAATTCCCCGGGCAGGAGTCCGGGCACACGGGCGACGCATCCAGCCCGGCCAGGGCATTCGCCTGGTGGCCGGCGTCCCAGTTGAACCGCAGCCCGTAGTACAGGGCCAGGACCATGCGCTGGTCGCCGCCGGCCGCCTTCAGGGCAAGGGCCAAGGCATCGGCCTCGGACCGAGCCATTTGGGCCACACTGTCATTGGTCAACTGGGCCACCAGGGCATGGGGGTCCCGTGCGGGCAGGCCCGAAACCAGGGGAAGGAACAGGGAGGAGAGCACCAACTGGCAGGCGGCCAGGAGCAAGAGCAGGAGCCAGGGGCACCGGATCGACGCCCGGCCTCCAGCTGAGGGTCTCATGGAGGCAAAGCGGTCGGCGGAGCGGAAGGACGGCCACCGGCTGGGAGAGGGGAGGGGAAGGGAGTCGGCCGAAGAGGCTAGGCGGACGAGAGAGAGAGAGAGAGAGGGAGAGGCGAGGGAGGGAGAAAAAAACAGGTGTCCAATCCCACGGCGCCAGGGCCGGGCCACGAGCCGGCTAAATACCTGCCACACGGCGGGCGGCCCGAACGGCCTGCCGACGACGGGGCGCGTGAAAAGACCGCCTCCCGGGCGGGGCCGATTGTGTTTATTCCGCTCGGCCTACCAACACCCTGCGGGGCGGGTATCGGCGCCTCCCCTCCGATGGCTGCCCGTCTGTCGCCCGGCCCTCCCCGCCGGCGAAGGGGGGCGACGCGAGGGGGATCTGTCTGGCCACACACATACACGGATATATGCATACACATGGACACACGCAGACACGGATATGCACACACACGGACACACGCAGACACGGATGTGCACACACACGGGCACACGCAGACACGGATGTGCACACACACGGGCACACGCAGACACGGACATGCACACACACTCACACTCACACTCACACTCACACTCACACTCACACTCACATACACACACTCACACACACTCACACACACACTCACACACACACTCACACACACTCACACTCACAAAACACGCGCACACACGCACACAATAGGGCCTTCTTCCTCGGGACCGATCCGTCCGCGTATCATAAAAATATTTCACACTCGGCGATCGGCCTCCGGGGAGATGCCCGACACCGGGCAGCCCAGACACCGGCTCAGAGCCCCTCGAGCAGGGGGCCACCTCGGCGAGCTCCGTCCACGCAACCACCACAGGGGGCCGATCGCGATCAAACGCCCCGGAGCCCGGCCTAGGATTGGACCACGCGCACCGGCACCAAGTCCCGGCAGGGGCCCCGGCCGCGCGCGGAAATCATAACAATATTCACCAGCGCGGCGAACCAGTCTCAAACGAGTTCCAGGCTGCCCCGGCTTCCACCATCGCCAGGCGGAGGACAGACGTGCGCCGGCGCCTGGACAATAGCCCGGTTGCGCCCCGGTCTCTGGAGCCCCCGCACCCGGGCTCGAGGGGGACCCGATGGCCCACGTGCCTGCCCGGTGGCCTTCCGGCGCCGCCCTCCTCGCAGGGGCTTGTCCCTTTCGGTCCCCGTCGCTCCGCAGTCCAGCGGAGGCCCCTCCTTGCGCGAGGGGGGGAGGCCCCCGCCCGCGCGCCGGGCCCAGCGGCAGGATCGGCCCTCCAGGCAGAGCCCGATGATGGCCGGCGCAGAGGGCCGCGCGATGTTCGGCGTCCGAGGGGCCGCCTCCCGGAGGAGGGCCCACCCGGAGGCGCGACGACAGAAGGCAGGCCAGTTGCCGTTAGTGCATCTAAGCGGTGCCCGGGGGAGGGGGCGGGGGGGGGGGGGGAAATGAACGCGAGACGGCCCGAGGCCGGGGGAGATCCGTTACATGTGGATCAATAATAAATAATACCCCTTGAAAGTGGATTTGCCAGCACCCAGCTCTCATAGCGTGTGGCATCCGCACTGGCAGCGCGACCGGCCGACGACACGGGTGACACCGAACTATCCATCCCCCCAACACCCCCCCATCAAACTTCCAGCGTGCCCGGCCTGCCATCATCAGGCCACGACCCCCGGCCCCCGGTCCCCGCCCCCCCCCCCCCCCCTTGGTAACCTGCCCTCGTGTGGCCCCCGACGAGCCTCGGCCTTGGGCCCTCAGACCACGCGCCCGAGGTTCTCGATCCCCCCCGGACCCGGGACTCGGTTGTTCACCCACCCGCCGATGGGGGGTTGGGCATGGGGCCACACACTGGTGTCCCGGCCGGAACGAGCATGCGTCAGGGGCTCTTGGCCGGATTGGGGCGGGCCAGTGCCAGCCCGACCAGGGGCACCTTTCTTGGGGGCGGACGGACATCCGGGACCTATATGGCCCCCCCGTTGGTAGTATCGAGCACGAGAGACCCAAGGGAAAAGGCAGCAGGACCGTGGTGTGGTCCTGCCCCGGGCGCCCGGCGGCCACACTGACGGTTGCCTTTTATTGACCAGGGTGGATGCCCATCCACACATAGAGGGCCCCATAGCTCAGTTGGTTAGAGCGTCGTGCTAATAACGCGAAGGTCGTCAGTTCGATCCTGGCTGGGGCCACATTCTTTTGTCCGATCGCCATGGCGCGCCCGCGAAAAATGCACCAAACAAATTAGCCTCCTCGGCACCCTCTCCCACAGAAGCGCGGGTCTATAGCTCAGTGGTAGAGCGGTCGACTGCAGATCGACAGGTCCCCGGATCAACCCCGGGTGGGCCCTTCTCTCTTTTGCCTTTCGGCGCTGCTCCCGACACCCCAGCGCCGGTGCTTTTTTTTTTTTTTACCTTTGTCGCCACACGCGCCGTGGCCCGGGCTCGCCGTATCTGCGAGCGAAAAAAAGCAATGACGTGGAGAGAAAAAGAGCAGCGGACGGGCCCTTTTCTCGGGCTCTCTCTCTTCGGCCATGCTTTGGGGCAAGCAAAAGGTTGGGGACTAGAGGGATCGAACCACTGACCGCTCGATCTGGAGTCGAGTGCTCTACCACTGAGCTAAGCCCCCCTCGGGTGCTTGCACTGTTCCGGCCGCCGTCTCTTATTTCCGTCTCTCTCTCTCTCTGGGCCTCTCGGCCCTTCCGTGTCCCTTCCTCGGTCCGAGGAACACACGGGCGGCGACTGCCCCCCCCCCCTCTCTCTCTCTCTCTCTCTCCTTCGGGAGGAAGAGCCACTGCCTGGGGAGGGGGGTCCTTTGCCGCCCTGGGAACTCATCCTCGCCGTGTGTCGGCGTGTCGGTGTGTGTGTATGTATCGTCGGGCCTGTTGAAAAGCTTCAAAGGATGGATGGCGCCGCCACGCCCCGTGGCCGGAGCTCTTTTGACCATCGGCGCTGGTTCAAAGGCTCCTGCACGGTTGGGGACATTTCCCCCAAAAAGCAGCTGTCCCCCGCCGCCGCGAGGCGGGGCGGGGGGGGGGGGGGGTGCGGCCTGCACATGCCCCAAACGGCCAGCGAGCTCACCCTCGAACAGTCCCCCTCTTCCCGTGGGCGGCGGCAGTCTTCAGCCGCGGCTGGGCCGGGCCGGATGCAAAAAGGAGGGGAAATCCGGGAATCGAACCCGGGACCTCTCGCACCCTAAGCGAGAATCATACCACTAGACTAATTTCCCCTTACACTGCCTCCTCTCGAAAGTCTATTTCATGCAATCTGCCTTACCACTGCGGCGTGTGCCCTCGGCCCCCCACCTCCTACAGTTGGCAAAGAGACCCCATCCTCACGCACACACACACACACACACACTGACGCATGGCCCCTCCCCCTCGCCACTCCAAGAGAGAATAACAGGAGAGGAGACGGCCACAGGACAGGAGAAAACCGCAGGACAGGAGAGCGACACGCACAGACATGCAAATGTATTTTCCCCCCTCCCACGGCGCGCAGGAGCGGAGAATGCGCCCTCTGCACGAGGACACACAACAGGGAGGGAGCCGGCTCAGTTCTGCGCCGGCGCATCGCGCTTCGTCCAGCCAGCACCCGAGCGCCAAGAACTCCCATACTGGCGGATGAGCGACGGGTCGCGCGCCGCCTTGGCCCGGCAGGGCATGCTGCACGCAAAGTCCCCCTGGTACGCCAGGAAGCCCCGGCCGTCGCTGAGGTTCACCCCGCACGCCATGCAGGTGAAGCACTCGGCATGCAGCGGACCCAGCTGCGTCGTCACATAGGCACCAGCCTCCTCGAGGTCGCCCTTGCAGGCCAGACAGGCAGGCATGATGGTGGGGGGAATGCGGGATACGGAAGAAGAGAACAGAAAGAAGGGGGAGGCGGAGAAGGAACGGGAGGTGTCCTAGCCCTCCTCCGGGAGGGGATCCTCCCCCGAGCCGGGGCGCCCTTTCAAGCGGAACACCCCGCTCCACACACAGCCCCCCCGGGCCGCCGTCGGGGGACAGAAAAAAAATAAAGCCCCCACGCCCGGACGGCGACGTCGCTCCCATGTGCCCACGTATGAAACCATGAGCACGTGCAGGCGGCTGATCTCTGCGGAATGCCGGTTCATTGGCACTCGGTCCTCGCCAGTCCAGTCTCTGGCCGGTTGTGCGGTCCTTGCTCAGGGGGGGCACGCCCGGGGCGGCGAGGCGGCGCGTCGAAGACGCCGCCCAGAGAAGGCGCTCGAGCCGATGAGGAGGC